GAGAGGACAAAGAATGGAGAGGAGTGTTCCAGCGGCAAGCACCCCACCCCCACCCCCGCCCCCAACCCAGGAGAAGGAGAAAATCACTTGCACCACCTTGGTTTGGACCTGTAGCTTTCTCCAGAGCCCCCAACCCAAAGCGAAACCCGCCACCTCTAGGCAGAGTTTGATCACGTTTGTGACCTTGTCCCTGGCGGTCCCATAGACCAGGTTTTGGCCAAATTCAGCAGAAGGCTACATGTCTTTAACATGGAGGTCCACGCCTTCTTCATTTTAAAAGAGATAAACTGCAGGTGGATGCATGTGGTGTGCATGTCTTTGAAACTTCCAGGCCGCTGGGGACCCTGAGCGCCACAGCCTGTGCCTAAAAGGGACCGGTCCCGGGGGCATGGTCTCCTTGCTCTCCCGCAGCCCCATGCATTGCCTGGAGAAATGGGGCACTCAGCGGGACAAGTGTGTCCCTTCATGTGCCCACAGGGAGGGAAGGCGCCAGAGAAGTGAGTTGGGCGGAAATAAGCTCCTGTTTGGCCACCTCACACTAAACCTGCGAATTAATGTACTGCTCTTATCGGTTCCTCTCTGGTGGCTTTTCAGCAGCAGCTGAGGAGGCAGAAGATGAGGCTTGAAAGCAATAAAGCCCAGGATGGGATACTAAGCAGGCCACCGTGGGGACCTGGGGAGGGACCAGAGAAGAGTCGCTCTAAGGAGACCTCTCTTATGCTGGAAAGATCTGGGGCAGCAGCAAATGGGAGTCCTAGGAAGTGAAGTTTGGAGCTGGGCACTAACTAAATCCAGCGTGGTGAGGAGATGCCCATTCCACCACAGAGCAACCAAAATAAAGGCCCCTAGGACTATGTAACTTATTCTGCTAGAAGCTCAGGCTGGAAGCCCGGCCAGTCCAATCACCTTTCTTGCCAGGTGTGCTTGGATCTTACAGGTAGCATTCTTTGGGGCTTCCTAGAAATGGACTTTTAGCAGCGAACTAGAAACCGGAGCAAAGAAAACATACGTAACTTTATCTTTGTTTTGTGAGAATTGAAAGGCTGGGTGGGGGAGGGAGGGAAAATGAGCTGATATCAAGGGCTCAAGTAGAAAGAAAATGCTTTGAAAATGATGATGGCAACATATGTACAAATGTGCTTGACACAATGGATCAATGTATGCATTGTGATAAGGGCTGTAAAAAACCCCA